GCGGCATCAAATTCGAGCGCGCCCCGTTCAAGCTCACTACCGAGATGATCGCCGTCATGGGGGGCTCGCCCTCGGCCCAGTCGTACCGCTGGTTTGAAGAGCTTACTGTTAAGGCTTTCCTGGCGTCGAGACAGCATTGCGAGCATCTTTCGCATATGGTGGAGATCATGTTGGATAGTGGGCTGCCGTGTTTTAAGCCAGAGACTATTCAACACTTCAAGGAGAGGTTTGTGCTGGATAAGACGGAGAGGGAGGCGGCAGATTTCATGAGGGAACTAATAAAGAAGAGTGCGGGGAGTTATAGTACCGGTGGGTATGATAGGTTCCAGCTTTTGACTAATGGGATTCCGTATTAGTGGGAGTCGAGGTAGGGCTAGGGCAGGAGAATGAAATTCGTAGTAGGATTGATGAATGTATATTGTTTTTGGCACGACGGTCGGTGCTTCAATGTCTCGAATATTGAATTTCACTTACACCTGAACATCTGATTCAACGCCCTTGTTTGATTGGCTTAGATGTCTCCGTATCTTGAAAGTATGACTCCTAATATACAGCCAATGTCTGCAAATATCCCCAGCCGCTGAGCTTTACGACACTATACTAGTCTTCAGCATCAAGAAAGCAGTTAGGTTGTTGCGCGAATGCCTATGTCAGCTCACCTCAGGCTGAAATATTGGTAGACACAAACGGCAAGTTTTAGAGATATTAGGCGTGATTGAATTCTCGCTGTCTGCCGTTCCTACACTAGTTGTCTTGCTTGAGAGAAACCTAAGAGGTTATGAACAGGAAGTGGGCATGTTTTGTTGTTAATGCGGGTAATCGAGAGTGGATAGGTTGTCTTTAGTACTTTGAGATGTTTATATTGATTTGCCATGTCCAACGCTTGGACTTCTTATCGATGAATTGTGTATTAATACTTACACGCAAGTGGGAATATTGCAAGTTCTTGTAGCTTGTTACTAGGACTGGTTACCAGATACGAAGACTGTTCTACTTGAAATGAGACCGAAGGGTACGGGTACATTGATAATATGGCCCAACCTACTTTGTAACAAAATATTTATTGCGTTTGCTACCTAGGTAAGGATCTATCTTTAGCTGACCAAGTAGGCAATTCTCGCCCTCAACCACTACGGGTACCATGTCAAGGTGATTACCTGGGTAATGAGACGGTAAAAAACACAGGCTGATTAATCAGTCTTCGCTGACTACCCCACCTGCATCCCTCTGTTCTAATACAGTTGGCAGGTTAGGCAGCCGAACGTCAGGCAGCCGAACGTCGAGCAGCCAACTATCAAACATTTGACATAGTCATCTCGTAATGATGCCCTAATTTCTGTGATTGCTGATTACATATGTGCTCGAAACACAGTGTGAGAGTTTCATCACCGTGGTTATGGACCCCTTCACCGCTCTCAGCCTTGCCGCTAGTATCGTTCAGTTCGTCGATTTCGGCACTCGAACAGCGTCCAAAATATCGGAACTCTATCACTCTGCCTCTGGATTAACGCAAAATCAAGATGAGATCCTCGAATCAGCGCGACGGTTTGAGAAGTTGGCTGAAAAATTATCTCGTGTCTCACTGCCCGAAGAAAACGACGCCAGTGTCATTGTGGACCATGCATCCTTTCATGCTCTCTTGCTCTCTTGCAAGAGTAGAGCAACTGATATTATTGCCATGGTAGAAGATCTCAAGGTTCAAAAATCTCGGGCGCTATGGGGCAGTATTCGCCAAGGGGCACGAGGCAGTCGGAAAAGACACGAGATCGAGCAACTCGTTGCCAAAATGAAGGAGCTTCATGACTTCCTCAACACCTACCTTCTTGCTCTACTGTGGTGAGTGTGACTTGATTCACCAATCTAGCACTAGTATCCGGCGGTGATAACTTATTTTACGACAGCGATCATAATTCCAAAGTCTACAGGGAATTGCTACTTGTTATGAACGAACAAGCTCGAATGGAGGTCGATTGGGCGCTGGATATCAAAGATATAAGAGATAGTCTTGTCGGCGAGATAAAGGCGCAGAGGGTGGCCCAAAAAGATTCTGAACCGGCCACAATGGAGTCCATGGCACAAAAACTTTCTACATTAGCATCCAACGGCTCAACAATGTCGTCAGGCCAGGGAGTTTTGAATAACTTGACTTTTCCCGAGATGCCGATGCGCCATTCAAATGTTGCCGAAGCTCACCGAAATACGTTTGACTGGATACTTCACCAAGATGGCTCTGACCAGAAAAATAGCCTCGCTGCATGGTTAGAGAATGGGGACGGAATCTACTGGGTTGCTGGTAAGGCGGGCTCCGGAAAATCCACACTTCTCAAATACCTGTGGAAACACCCGAAAACGCTTGAGTTGCTTCGACCCTGGGCTACCCCTCTGGAGCTTGTTGTGGCCAAACATTTCTTCTGGTACTCTGGTAATCGGCTGCAAAAGTCACAGGAAGGTCTTATACGCTCTCTACTTTTTGAAATTCTTCGGCTTTGTCCTCATCTGATCCCAATGGTTTTCCCCTCTCGGAAAGAACAATTTGTAACTGCATACTGGGACCGTGCCGAACTAATGGATGCGTTCAACTGCTTGATCCGGCAATCCATTCAGAAATACAGATTCTGCTTTTTTATTGATGGTCTCGACGAATACGACGGCGATCACTTCGAGCTTGTACAGCTCTTCAAGAATCTCTTCAACTGCCCAAGCATTAAGATATGTGTGTCAAGTCGCCCGTTGAATGTTTTTCAGGAAGTCCTTGGGCAACAGCAACATACTTGTATGTACCTCGAACAGTTTACACGACGAGACATAGAGTCATACGTACGTGACAAGATGAGAAATAGCGCTCGATTCTCAGCGCTTGAGGAGGAAGACCCACGGAGCAGCGAACTTATTGAAGAAATCGTCGAAAAAGCACAAGGGGTTTTCCTTTGGGTGATACTGGTGGTCCGGTCTCTCATCAGAGGCCTAACCAATGCAGACACATTCCACGATCTCCAAAGGCGTTTGCGAGAATTTCCTCGAGAGTTGGAGCCATTTCTTCGCCATATGTTCAACACGATCGATCCTTTCTATCAATCGGAAACTGCGAAGTATTGTCAAATTGCCTTGCATGCTCGAAGTCCCTATCGCTTAAGAACATACTCCTTGATAGATGAGGAAAATCTGGAATCTGCGCTGAGTGTGCATCTGCGTAGCATTGAATGGGGAGGCCCTGAAGCATTGGACAAACTTCGAAATACGCAGAAAAGAATCAACGCTCGATGCCATGGTCTTCTAGAAACGTACGACAGTAGTCAAGTAGTAGACTTCTTTCATCGGACTGTTCGGGACTTTTTGAGCTTGGACGATATGCGAGCGAGTCTACACCAAAAATATCCAGCGGGAAAAGACATCCATCTGCTGCTTTGTCGGACTTTGCTCGGAGAATTAAGATGCATACCTGAGATCGACCATCCGACGTCAGTACACAGTATCAAGGGCTCAAAATCAGCTCTCAAAATATCCAACGTCCGAACCACATTCGATATGAAACAGTGCATGGATATTCTACGCGACTTCTTCTATCACGTGGAACAGATTGAGTTGATCTCCGACGAGACGCCGGTCCTCTTGATCGAAGAGCTCAGTGAAGTCCTTCGAGTCTCCCTGCCCGCCCTTGAATTTGTCCATGGATTTGATAATGCACTAGACTGGAAGCTGGACACCGAAGAATCATTTGTTCGGTATTCACTTGACTGCGGGTTGGTTCACTATCCCGCACATAAATACATGGAAAATCCTATCTTGATGTCCGACAACCCTCGGAAAATGCTGCTCATCCGTCTCTTGTCCACTCCCTCAACATTTGTTCAAAAAAACTACCGGACCTCAGATGTTATAAGAACGCTTCTCCGGCAAGGAACCCCAGCCAATTGCACAGTCCTCACAGAATGGGGTACGGAAATGTTGTTTTCCCGCTCTGAACTTACACCAGAGGCGTCCTGTTCGAACAATTCGTATTTCAAGAAGGCGCAGTTGGAGACTCCATGGCAGATATTCCTGTTCTATATCTACAACAGGGCACATACTGCCTCGCCATCACATCTGAATATGTGGTTTGAGGTCGCGAAGATGCTTCTGGAATTCGGAGCAGACACGGAAGAGCAGGTCGAAGTTGGCCGCGTAAATCCTCTCACTCTGTCGGATTTCTTTTGCGTTGTCTTCCCTCCTGCAGAAGCTCAGGTGTTATGTGAGATCCTTCGGGAGCAAAGTGCAAAAACCAAACTCGAAATAAATGACCAACTGGCAAATACAGACTGTATAGGAAGCGAAAGACCTGTGTTGAAGACATCGATCTTTGGTTGGCTCACGAGCTGGGTTCCATTCTGAAACCAGTCTAGATCCATTAAACAGACTAATAGCTGCTCTGAAACTGGTTAAAGCATGTGGATCGTCCAATGCTTGATGTACATTTGGAATCATATACGGTAACGTTTATATCTAATACGGCATTTGTCAGTTACACACAAGGTCACATCACGTCTGCGCGTATTATACACCTATATTGAGACAAAACTGGACCTTATCTAAACAATCGCTATCACCAACACTCAGGTTAGGTGTTTCAGCAGTTGTTAGTTAGGAGCGCCAAACCGGGGTTGTAGCCATTGAAAGGGAGCGTACAATATCAGCCTCGAGCTTCATTCTAGGAACTACACGTAGCAAGTATCTTAGCAATAATTGTTGTTTTTATCAATTTTATAGGCCTTCTCTCGTGCGCTGCGTGCTACGTACTTCTCAATTTCGAGCCTTCGTTTCAACTATGAAGGAAGATTATGATCAGTAGCTACTCCTACATAGTTGAAAGTTGGTTATAACTACTTAGACAGATCTATATAAAGAATGTGTAATGGTACTATACTGTTTTATCCATAGAAAAAAAACCTACATTCAGCTTTTGGGTAGAAGAAAAGAGAAGTAAGCTTTAAGCTAAAGTGTGCACACAAAAAGAATATGATTGGTTCCGACACGGGGAATTGAACCCCGGCCTGCCCGGCACTTGCTTTGAGAGCGGGCTATCCTAACCACTAGACGATATCGGATTTGCTTATTTTGATTTGCAACTGGCGAAACTTAACTAATATATATAGAGAGAGAGATAGGAGTCTAGGGACGACGAGGATAAGTAAAGCGGCAAAAGGAGATAATTCAGCGGCGTGGGCAATTGTGGAGCTCTTTTAGCACCTCAAAAACGTTGCGGGGATGAGTCACCAAATGTGGACCTGAAAAAAAAAAAATTCAACAATGAAGAAAATCATTGTGCTATCAATATTCCATGACTGTGTTTTTGAATACACAAGTTCTTATCTTATTAGATAGAACCAACACGTCAATAATACAAGAAATCGTCCAAAGATCCAAAACGCGTCCAACACTCATCAACGTTACTAAAAATCAAGCCGTAACTCATAAAATCGTGCAATAGCCTCAAAGGCATTCGGCCCTTCTTTCCCAACTTAGAAAATCATCATTTGTTTGTATAAGAAGAAAATCATCAATCTGGGATATTGTGACGCGCAAACATTGATGAGACGGAAACATTGAATATGGAAAAGATTCACGGAATGAAAATCATTAACCTATTCAGCAACCGGAGTATCGGCACGATCTTGCTGCTGCAGAGCAATAGGAATGAGTCCGAGTAATTTCATACCGTTCTCAAGTACCGTTCGTGTGGCCTCATATAACGCGGCTTGAGCCGGAGTGATGCCCGCTTCTGCTGCATTATGCTCGTCTGTTCCTTCCTCTGCCTGTGCTTCTCCTGGATTCTCGTCTGCCATGACCTCCCCTACCACTTCTACTGCCTGTGCTTCTTCCGCACCTTCTTCTTTTACCTCTCCCGCTGCTCCTTTAGTTTCCTCGTTTGAATCTTCGGTCGTTCCCTTATTTTCAACAATTCCAGATCCTTGACCGAGTTTCGCTTCTTCTCCCTTGAATGCCTCGTCTTCCTCTTGTTCATCATCGTCTTCACCAAGAATATCCGATAAATGCTCAATGACATTGGCCAGATATGCGGTGATGGGGGTTGATTCTAGTGATTTGAAGGCAGCATGTGTAATATCGGGATACTGGCCCAGGACCAGGAGAAGACTAGTTTGTTCTTCATCGTCGAGTGATCCGTATTCTTCATGAAGGAGATCCTCAGTGATAGGATGCGCTTTCAGAATGGAGCATAGTCGTGCATACCAATACTGTAAATCCGGGCCAGTTCCAGGCTTGAAAGAGGTCATTCCGTCAATATCGAACGCATGATCGCCCGTTTTCTTAGTTGACAGTTCCTGTGTTAGAAGCCCAGAGATTCCGAGCACCTTGGCAGTGTCCTCCGAATTTCCGACAAGGCCAGCTCTTATTCCATCTGCCTTCAGTACGTCCATCATCGCCTTTTCGCATTGGTTGAGGATCTCGTGAGGTTGGTGTCCATGGCCCAGCTTATCAGACATATGTGAGACATCGCCAAATTGCACGTGTTGCAGTTTCCCACGGAGTTCAGTCATGTCCAGGGCATCGAAAATCTTGAACATCTTGGAGAAGTGACCGTTTCGATCGGCAGCGACAAAGATCATCTTATCGAATTCAAACTTTCGCGACCGCTCCAGTACAGCTGCGAGATACCGGAGAAGGTAAGTACTACTTCCCGAGCGGTCTCGAATGACTGCTGTTCCTGATCTTGCACCGAGTTTGATGATCCACGCACCTCCACTTTCTTCGCAGATCCCTTTGTCCTTTAAGAGTTGTTCGATTTCTACCATTGTCTCTTGGCTAACTTTGGATTCCCCAGAATACTCGTCGAAGGTAATTCCCATACGAGCATAGAGCTTAGCATAGTTGTCGGTGTTGACATCGCGAATGCGCTTGTACAAGGCAAGTGCATTCTCGTCACCATTCTCCATCCGTTTGAAAAATTCGTTCCGCTCAGCAAATACTCCCTTGCTTTCAATCTCGGCAGTGCCTTCGACCTCGTCTTGTGCCTTCTTCTTTGCTTCATCTCGAGCTTTCTTGCTTGCTACTTGCTCTGGCAAGAACAATTCCTGGATTTTGTGATAAACTTCGAGGAGATGCGTAGTGGGGTCCTCTTGAAACGCTTCTTCGGAGCCAAACTTTTCCCAGCCCACACCTAGCAGTGCCATATCCTTCCCCCAGTCCCCGAAGTAGTTGAGTCTTGTGACATCCCATCCCATATTTTCATGAAGACTGCTTACAAATGATCCGATGATGGTACTTCTGAGATGCTTCCCTTGGAACTCGCTTGCGATGTTCGGGGACGAAAACTCCACTACCAGCTTTTGGCGGCCTCCAGTCGGCAGAGATGGATCCCTGAGTCCGAGGGCTAAGTCACTGCCGTATTCTCCCTTTCTATCATTGATGTAAGGGACTAGAACACGTGGAACTGTCTGAGGCGTGACACAAATACGCAGATGGACGCCATCCTCCCACGGGAGACCGAAGAGTGAACCTTGCGGAAACTGTAAGACATTTGTTAGATCGAGTATAATAAGCAAGAACCTCCAAAAAGTCATTTGATGCGGACCTTCTTTATCAGATCTTTTGCCAGGTCTCCAGCCTTGGCGCCGGGACAAAGTTTCGGCAAAACAACTGTAAAATCTCCATGCAAAGGATCATTGGACACGGATATCGAGTTGTAGGCAGCTGTGCGGTCGACCTCGACAAGGCTGGACAGAATATCGGCGAGATAAGAGCGGACTAGGTCGAGTGGCTTGTTCAGCACGTCCGCCGAGGCGAAATGGGGAATGGGAACATTCAAGTCCAACTTTTCTAGAGAGGTCTCCAGTTCGGAAACTGTAAGCGTCGCCATGTATTCGAACAACTCTGATCTAACTCAAACAGCTGATAGTATTAAAGTGATTACAGAGTGAGACGAATTCCCGTCAGGCTGAATGATGCTGTCATAAGAGGGCTAAGGAGTCATTCGTCACGTGTAGTTGGGCGTCAAAAAGTACCGCGCAAATCACAGTCTCACTTCTCAAGCGTTTTGGACTTCTTAAGTGCCCAAATTTCAGCCTCGTGCAGAGGAGGGATGCCACGTTGTCTATGCTGTCAGCCCTCGTGGGGGTCCCGGATTGGTTATAGACCTTCGCCAATGCATGGAAAGCCTGTAACAATGAGAGAAGGACCACCCACACCGAAGCACACCATCACAGCCTAGTTAGCTAATTGGTCAATTTGAATGATCGGCTTCTGTGCCCAGGTCGGGGTCTTCTCCATGTGCCGAAATGAGAAAATCTGCCGCTCGTTTTGGATACTGCACGTTTTCACATCCAGCAGGGCAGACAGTTAGTTCTACTTGGAGATTAGGCAGATTACTTTAACAGTACGGCGCCATTTTGAAGCTGTCAGAAGATCTTATACATTGCAGGCAGTATCTCTCAGCGGAAGTAGGAACATGCAGTATGCTTTGTACGCGTAATATTGCTCGAGTGGACACTTATACCTTGTATTTCTATATATGTGTATCAGGAAACACAACATCCCAACTACCTAACAGATAGGGAAAGAAAGAGAAAATACCCACTCGATTCCTTCACATGAAAGACGTCTGAAAGGCGCAATTATCTAAAGTACTCTGACGCGAAGCAAGTTCCTCATAAGAAATTAATTCATGATAAAGTCCATGGTCGTTCATTCATAAAAGGTGCAGTCGATTGACAGTAAGCGATATCACAATGGAATTTACATGAGTAAAGAAAGGATTAATATGTAAGCGACTTAAAAGGAGACTAGCTAGAAAGTATTGAAAACCTGGTCATTCCTAAACATTAACATGCCCTTGGACTTGTTGGTTCTGCTTCTGGGAGGCGGTTCATTTCGATGTCGACTACAAAATTAGCAATTGCATAACCTCTGTATTGTAAGTAAACTCACTAAACTCGGCATTTGACGGCCTTATACGTCCTAGCCGGAATGTTAATCTTTTAGGCCAAGAGGCTCGATGGGCTACGACGTTGATAACAAAGACGAAGAGTTGAACCGCAAGGATCGAGAGAAAAACGCAAACTACAAGGGACTTCGGGCTTCTGTTGAAATGCAATGTTTCTTGTTGTGTTCCGAAGAGAGCAATAGCAATCGCGATGGGAGTGAATACAAGATTCATCTATAGGCAATTAGTAAACAGAAAGTATTTCATGAGAGCAGGTCTGCAAACCGAGAAAGCCAACTGGGAAGTTTGTTGGTTTGCAAGAGCCGCTTGACCTGTCTTGATGTTAACTTCATTGCCTTTGTGGTTCAGAAGTATGGTTTGTTGAGTGAGTCGGTTGCTTTCGAGGCTCATGTTTAGTTTGAGCTTTGGACAAGTTAGCGCAAGCTATAATAACGAGCAAGAAACGAACAATTTTGCACTGCCTTTCACAGCAGGATTCATCTAAATGAATGAACGTTTGCTTGATTTCCTTTAGTTCCTGGAAACTGTCTCTGATACCATCGAGCGATTCTGTGATGCGTGGCTCCGAGAAAAGGTCCGAGAAATAACAGATATCCCCATTTGGAGCGTCAAATCTTTCCCATGACTGAATTGTAAGCGAAAGACGACTTCGGAGATCTTTTATGAGATTCATTGTTCGAACAATCCTATTGAACTCTTTGTAGAATTCTGCGAGCCTGTCTTGTGCATCATGGCTGAACAAGACTACAGGATGCTTTTCAATCTACGTCAGTAGATACGTCATGGAGCCCCTTTTGCATGGACGGAGAAGAAAGTCTTACGTATTGTTCCACACTGGTCTCAACCTTTCGCACAAGATACATCCACTCTTTGAGGATAATCCTCATACGGAAGTCAATGTTTCTTAGGAAATATTCTCGGGGGTTCCAAATTGGAGGGTCTTCTATGATCTCGTAACCGTCGCTATCGGAAGCGATCGGGTCCTCAATTATTCCATCCGGATCTTGTTCATCCTCTTCGTCATCATCCGCATTCCCAGTGGAGGCGTTCTTGAATTCCGTGTCAACAAAGGCATAACAAGTCCATCGAGTATGATCGGAGCCGCAAATGACCAAAGAGATGTGGGCATCATAGAGGCCAGGTGTG